AAAGACAAGAAACGGCTCCATGTAAATTCCTAAGCTAAAAAACACTTATAAATAGAGCCTGAACAAAGGTAAAAGGCATGAGACTCTGAATACTATTACTATCTCAAAGATTTACTTGCTCTCTTCTTAATTTTTTCTGTGTGCTTTCCGTAGTTGATCCCTTTAGGTGTTCAGGTGTAAAAAATTACACCCACAGTATGAAAATTGCATTCTTTGTGTGTTTCTCCCCCGGTGTCATAAATAAATATGATCGGTCTTCAAAACCCTAACAACACAATTATCACCAAGACTTCAAAGAATTCCAAACACTTAGGAACTAAGTAATGATTTGTAGTAGCGTAATTCCGTCAAAAAAAAAAAAAAAAAAAAAAAAAAAAAAGGATTCGTGTGAAAGTTTCTTCTTCCAATTAAGTCATCACTGCAGAAAAGATCCGAGAAATAGGTACTCTCTTCTAGTAAAATAGAGAAGGTTAATTTAGAAATATATTATAACTTATAAGGTTAAAATTGTCATCACAACATTTATTACTTAAATACTTCATCCGCTTGAGAAGTGAATTCTTCTTCTTTTTATGTTTTTTTTTGCACTTGAGAAGTGAATTCCAAAAGCCTCTTTCTTTGAACAATTGGGCGTTTTGAAGAACCCGTTTTTGAGCCCAGTAAGCTTCGCCAAACTACACTTTCTTGAATTCCAAGGCCCAGGGCACGATAAGCAAGTAGGTCCCAGCAAAATATATGTAGGTTTGCGGCGACGCTGATCAGAAATGGTGGTTATACATAATTAAATGACATCGTTGAAGTTCTATGTAATGCTTCTTAAAATGTGTTTAGCAATGCAATCCAGGGTTCTGGTCGATCGAAACAAACCCAAATGAAGAAGGAAGCCATTGGAGTGCACAGAAGTGTATGTATTCTCGATTCTAAGATCTGGTAAGCTTATATATACAAGTAGATATATATATATATATATAGATATCAGTACAATGATTCAATTTATTAGCAGTAGACTTCAAAATACAAGGCATTTAGCTTCAATTACATGTCATGTGTCTTTGTTTTCAACCTCATCAGTCAATCCCATCTTGGATAGTTTAAATTCAACAGACCCACAATCTCTTACAGTCTCTTGTCTGTTAAACTAGTGTGGGTTGTCCTTAGAGTCAGCCATTTCAGCTTCTAAGAAGCTCCAGTTTGGAAAAACAGACCAACCAGACTCAGTCTTGAACCTTTTGAAAGCCCATCGTTTAACTCCGACCCATATAAAAGATCTGATAACAACTCGTCCTCTGATACTTCTAGCTGATCCACACAAAACCATCAAACCCCATATTGAGTTGTTACAATTTCTAGGACTTTCTGGCACTAACCTTGTACAAGCGATCAAAAAAGAACTGCGTGTGCCTGAAACTGATGCACGTGCAGTTGTTTGGCTTTTCAAATCTAATGGTTTCAGTGAAATGCAAATTTCAAGCTTAAGCATGAAGCATCCATCTTTATTTCAAACCAATGCACTCCGAATCAAGCCAAAATTGGAATTTTTCAAGTCTTCGGGCTTTTCAAAAGAAGAAATTGCACAGCTATTGTCATGTGAACCTTCTGTCCTCGAAAACCAAATCATACCTTCTTGTCAAGTCATTAGACTTATTGTTGGCACCGATGGGGATGTCTTGAAAGCAATCAAAGTGTGCTCTCGAATACTTGAATTAAATAAGTTGGAGAAGGTGTTGGAACCAAATATTGCAATCTTGTTGAATCGTGGTGTCCAAGTCATTAGTTCTAAAATGGTTTATGTATCAACCAAAGTTCCTACTTTTAGAAAGTGATCAGTTTATTGAGGTGGTCGGCGAAGTTGAAGAAATGGGTTTGGATCCCATAAATAAGCGATTCATGTCAGCCATCCATTCAATGGCACTCATGATCAAATCACTTTGGGAGCAAAAGTTGGGAGTTTATTCTAGTTTTGGTTTGTCAAAAGATGACATTATTGCAGCATTCAAGTTAGAACCATTGTATGTGAGTTGTTCAGAGGAGAAGATCAGGAAATCAATGAGCTTCTTTGTTAATCAGCTGAAATTGAATCCCAAAGTAATTTCCAAGCATCCAGGTCTTTTGCTTCTTAGCTTGGAGAAGAGGATTGTTCCAAGGTGTGCAGTTCTGCAACTTTTGATGTCGAAAAATCTGATCAACGGAGACCTGAGCTTAATTTATGCACTCAAAATGACTAAAAAATTGTTTGCTGGTTGATTATTTGACTTCTTTAGAGAGCCTGTTCTTTGATGGGCATTATGGAAGAGTAGCCAGGTGTCATGTTTAGTAATGCAACACTCAACGTTATGTGTGGTCTGTTTCAGGGGCTTTAGCTCAGCCCCATTGCATAGGCGTCACCTGCATCCATCCACTAGAAAGGTATGATAAGAGTGTTGGGCATCCTTTAATGCCTGAAACATTTTCTTGATTCAGCTGACAATCAATTGCATTCTCCCAACCATCTGGATTTTTTTAGCCTTTGCATCTGGATCTATTAAGGGGGATATAATTCTTGTATTGGTAGTGAAACAAAAGTTTTGAGGAGAGTTTTGTGACCAATAATCATGACATGATAGAGTTGCATTATTACGAATAACCAGTTTGTTTTTCTGAGTTTCACAGTGCTGGTTAGCATCTTTTTGTGACATTATTTTGCAGTGGTAATGTGTATTAAATCAGTGGTCACAAAAAAATTGCTAAAAGTTAAGTCTAGTCCTTCCCTCCCCTCAGCTGCACGGGCAGGTAAGAGATCGGGTAATGCCTGCTTTCATTATATTAACAGCATTTAAGTAAATTCTGCTATATCATGCTCTATTACTAGATTTAACCTCTAATTCATTTATTTCTTGAACATCCTAATGTTTCTCTGAAAGTGATGCTTTGTTATTCTGTTTGCAGTTCATCTTCTGTTCGGCCTGTTTTATTTGCTTTCGTTTTGACTTATATTCAGGTCGGTATTAGTTGCGCTGTTACTGCCATTTCAGTGCTAATTTTACATTTTATAACAATGGGCTTTATGGAGCGAACACAAACAACTTCTACCGTACTAGAGCTGCAAATTTGGAGTTCAGAGCGTAGTTTGTAGTTTAAGTACGAGCATAGCTTTAAGTATTGAGATTGACCAAGAAAAGTTATGGAGAACTTAAGAGCTAAGTCTCAGATTTTGTTAAACCATGAGAGGCAAGATATAATTCAGGGGTTTAACTTTCACATAGTTCTGAAAATGTAAGTCATAAAAACGTTGTAGAATGTCCAAGGGAGCAGCACCAGAAGATCCTGGATTTTGATTTGGTAAGTTGCAATGGTGGGGCAGTTTGTTCTTCCCCAAGTGTTGGTTGCTGGAAGGTGATCGACAGGCTGGTATATTTGCATATATATATATATATATATATATATATATATCTTTGTATATGTATGCTTTTCTGATTTTAAAAAAATCAATTTCATTCTAAAATCTGGGTCCGGCATGGCTTTGTATTTGGGATCCAGATTTCCATCGTTTGGATCCAGAATACTCTTCTCTTCTGGGTAACAATTAACAATCTCTCTGTGCATATGTTTTGTGTGTATATGTATTTTTCAGTCTTCAATTCAATTTCAGTGTTGATTGGCTTCCTTAGTGGTGATTGGCTTTGGGTTGTTAATAAAAGAGGGCTTAAGGGTGATGAATTGATTGGGATGTATGTTGATCCAGAACTCCTTGAATTCTATTTTAAATTGTTGAACACTAATAATGAGTAATATAAAACCACATGAATCTGATCGGAATTTTGTTAAGGAATAAAATTGTTCTCATTAACATTTCTTATTACACAAGTGAGATCGTGAAACATAGGGTTAATTTTTGGTACCTAGAAAGGCTAAAATTTGACTCTTAAATATTATATATCAAACGTATAGAATTTGATTTATAACCTTCACAATCAAAACAATGTCAAAATTTAGTTCTATAGCAAAAAATTTCTTCCAACACCTCATTTAGAACAGAGCATGAGGACTAGTACCTTTTTCTGGAATGATGTTTTTAGTTGTGAATTGTCCATGTACTTGATAATGTATATAACATCATGAAAACTTATCTTCTTCTTGTTCAATCAGTATAGAATACAATCAAAAGTGGAGGACTATTACCTTTTTCCTGGAATGATGTTTTTAGTTGCACTTATAATAATGTTCATTGTTCAGTACGTTGAATACATGGTTTCATTGACTCTAATTGGGAACCTCGTCATGCTTGAAGTGATTTAACCCTTTTACATAACTGGGATTACAAAAAGCCTCAAATAAAAGAAAGAAATAAGTAATGACTACAGAACCAAATGGTGTAATAAGGGTTTAGAAAGAACAAAAAAAAAAAAAAAATTGATGGTGGAGGAGTTAGGCAGCATACTTTGTGGGTGGCGGGTGTAGGAGGTGGAGAGGAGAGAGAGAATGGAGAGAGATGGTTGTGATGATGGAAAATTGGCACTGGACGGTGCCCATGGTGGGAGGAGGTGGCCGTGGTTGGGGTGGAAGTTTTCTCTCTTTTAAAGAGATAGCTATTTATTTGAATATAGACATATAAGGTTATCCAGAAATTTATTTTATTATTTAATTTGAAGTATTCGATTTTTTTTGTTAATTTTCTAATATAAGCTACGGAGGTGGGCAATAAAGAAAGACTATAAAGATACTACTAATATCTTTTGAATTAGTTCCACTTTCCTTGTATTTTATATAAACACTTGTTTGTTGAGTATGTTATCTATGTTTAATAAGCACTGGTGTGCTTGCAGCTCCAGAAGATGGTGCCTTTTATCATGAATATGCACAGCACATTGTGTAGTCATTTGGCAGTGTTGGATGCTTTTGTGTTTCAATTGCTGCTGCCGATCTGAACGTGCTTCAGTAATTTTATTTTTTATTTTATCAGCAGCAGCAGAAGAAAAAATAAAGATTTGAAATATTCCAACTTTGGCTTAATGATTTTTTTGTCAAAAAACCTTTAACCCGAAGTTGGAGTATTTCAAATCTTTGGGCTTTTCAGAAGCAGAAATTGCAGAGTTATTGTCATCTGTACCTTATATTCTTGGAAGAAGAAGCCTTGAAAACCAAATCATACCTGTTGTTCAAGTCATTAGATGTATTGTTGGCACCAATGAGGATGTCTTGAAAGCAATCAAAGCTTGCAATGGAATACTTGAATTAAAGTTGGAGAAGGTGTTGGAACCAAATATTGCAATCTTGTTGAATCATGGTGTACCCAAGTCATTAGTCCTAAAATGGTTTATACCCAAGTCATTTGTCCTAAAATGGTTTATGAATAAACCAAAGTTCCTACTTTTAATGGAATTTGTAATCCCATTAGTATCAATTATAAAGTAACTGAACCCCTACAAGTTCCACTTACCACCTCACTCCCCCTCTTTCATTGCTGTCTTGTGGAAAAGTTTGGACAGTCTTGCTGGAAATAAAATATATTCTTTATTGGTATTCTCTTTATGGATTGTTTATAGTGACTATTGTAATACATCGTGGTTGAAAGTGGGCTCTTTAAATTCAAGATAGATATAGAGTGAGTGGATGAATGAGCTAAAAAGACATGTGCATGGCAAGATTAGATGTTGTGATACGATGTAGTGGATTGAATATATACTCTTCACAAACTTAGCAGATCTGACTATTTCAGGATAAATAATAAAAATTCACAAACTTAGCAGATCTGACTATTTCATATAAAAATAAATAGATAAATAATAAAAAAAAGATCTTGAGCAAATCAAGGAAACGAAAGGGAAGCCGCAATCTGATGTCCAGTTTGTCACCAGGTAAGCCACAATCAAACTGTTTATTCTGAATATGCGTGTTTGGCAGATGCGGTACTTTTTCCAGCGATGAGCACCCCCTGATGTCCAGTTCCTTCAAGGAGGCTTCCAAAGCCTCAAGGCCCTCAATCTCACGCAAGCTCATGCATCCACAGAGCAGCAAGTGTCTCAACATTTTCAAGTTCGATAGATTCGGCATTCTTACCATGGATGAGCAAAACGACAAATTCAAGTATTTCAATGATACCAATATATGTAGTCCTTCGATCTTATTGAGATTCCGGCAATCAACAACTTCAAATCTTTTTAACTTGCTTAAGCTGGACCGATCTGGTTTATTTTCAGGGTGTTTGTACCCACTCATCTCTGAGGATGCTAGAGGTGCCGAATATTCGAGCAGATAAAGTTCAACTATTTTAAAGCACTGACGCATACAAAAACTTGCCAGTGATACTAGATTTCCAAGTCCTTGAATCCCTATCAGCTTATTGCACTCACATATTGTCAAACTTTCTAGCAATTCTAGATTTCCAAGTCCTTCAATCTCTGTCAGTTTAATGCATTTTTCTATACTCAAACTCGTCAATGATTGTAGTTTCCCAAGCCCTTGAATCTTTGTCAGCTTATTGCACCCAGAAAGCCGCAATTCCGACAAGAGCTTCAGATTTGACAGATCTGGTAGTATTTCCAATGACAGACCACCAGCAATATATAATCTAACCAGATTGAGGAATTTGAGCTGAGAAAGGGCATCAATCTTTTTTGGTAGGTCTTGCTGAGAAAGGGCATCAACCTGGATCATAATGTTGCTACTTCCAAACTCCAACCTCTGCAATTTGGATAATTTAACAATATCCCTTAAAATTATCTGATTCATGTTGTCAGGATTCAGAAAACACCGCAGGACTTGCAGATTAACTAGATTTGCAAGATTAGGGGTACCATGAAAACTCCACAAATCTACACGCAGAACTTGTAAACTTGAGGGAAGCTCTGGCAGTGCTTCGAGATAAATGCATTCTCCTAAGTCAAGGGTATGAATGCTTGTTGGTAGGCTTCGAATTCCTGTAGAATAAAAGCTGCTTAAGTATATCAGACACGAAAATCTCCTAATGCAACTTGTAATGTTACCTCTCAAATGAGAACGACGTGCATCTATAATTTTCAGCTTCTTTAACATCCTAATTTCATCAGGTAGCTCTCGTATTTCAGTGTATGAAATGTCAAGCACTTTTAAGTTACTTGCCATCTGTTTACAAGATACATAAAAATATAGAAACAATCATACATGCTCCAATATGTATGTATGTATGTATGTAATGGGAGACGAGAGTCATGAGAGTATGAGATATTAAAATGTATGTAGTATATACCTTAATTTGACTCCAACCCTTCCAGTTCTCTGGGATCCTACTACGGCTTAGATCAAGTATGACTAGTTTCTTCATATGAAAATTGGTTGCTTCAAAATGCAGAGGGGAATATTGCCAACGAAGCCATCTTAAGTTTAACAAGCGATGCTTGAAATCCCCAACAAGAAGTGTAGCATAATCTATTTGGAGATACCGCAATTGAGATCGTTTTGCGAATTTGTCATGCTCACATGTCTTTAGAAAAACATCAATATTTAGGAGTTGGACCTTTTCAGTTACCTGTCAATGAAAAAAACCATAAAAATAAGTAAACAAATAAAAGAAACGATTTGCCCCGTGCTAAAAAGGGAATTATTAATATTAGATATCAATTATTATTCTTATTTAAAAAAAAAAAAAAAATACCGATTTTTAATGACTTCTCAAAAACAATAGTTATTTGTGTTTACAGATAATTTTGCTTTTATATATAAAAAAAAAAAATTAAAAATTAAAAATGAAGCAACTAAAGTTTAGTTATTTTAATCTTGAAAAAAAAAGAAGAAAAAAGGGTCATTTTTTTTAGTTAAGATTGGGTTAGATTTAGGCTGGTTGATTCAAATATTCAGAACTCCTTTTTTTCTTTTTCTTCTTCTTCAAATTCATCTTCATTTTTTTATTTTTATTCTTTTTTCATTTATAACAACTCTAAATAACTTGAAGTAATTGAAAGATCGTGCATAACATTGTAGCCTCCAACTTAATTACAAATGCTACACCAATCTAAATGTACAACATGCCTACTTTCCGTTGTAACCAGGTGTACTAGCTAGTAACAAGAACATCTAAAATTCTTTTCTTAACCCCCAAAAAAGAAGTTCAGTCGGATGAGATGAGTTAAAACTTTTGATTTTTTTTTTTTTTTTTATTAGATAAATACTCACGTCACAACTCTAAATAACTTAAATTTAGTTCCATTGTCAATTTAAATCCAATCTGACAGTTGTCCAAGCCCATCATAGATGATGCTGGCAAATTCAGGTTGGTCAACAACTTAGCTCCATAATTGGAACCTATGTGGATGCTACCAAGAATGTTATTTAGAGCATGTGTATTATGAGATGACATGAAAGAGACTTAAGAAAACATTAATCAATGCAAAAAAATTAGTGCTGTAAATTTTTACCATGCATTCCTCAAATATAGCAGAGGCTTCTTGTCGATCCCACAACCTGCTACGCAGTCCTGGATTCTCAAAATCTTCTTGACAGACGATTTCCCTACCAAGATCTCTTAGTTGATCATGCATTATCAATACATTATCATTTCCAAGTTTTACTAGAGACATGAGACAAAGGACATTAATTTCTTTCTCCGGAAAATAACCGCAGTCATCCCACATATAAAATGGATATGTTTTATCCATCCCAACAAAAAGACATGCAATATCAAGAAATATCTGTTTTTGCCTGTGGGTTAAAACATCATAACTTACTCTCAATATTTTATGAACTTTATCATTTTGTATTTTCTTCAACTGCTTCGATGTATCTTCCCATACTGTTTTTGGCTTGTCAGATAGAAATGAACCTATAACCTCAAGAGCTAGAGGAAGCCCTGCAGTAATTGATGCCACCTCTTCAGAGATACTAACAAAGTTTATTGGAGGAAACTTTTTCCGAAAAGCATGAATGCTGAGAAGTTGAAGAGATTGGTCTGGGTTCATAAATGGAGGTTCGTAAGTCTCATCCGCTTCAAGAACATTTAAAACGTGCTTGTTTCTAGTTGTAACTATGATCCTAGTTCCTCCACCAAACCTATCACGATTTCCCACAAGCCAATCAAATTGAGACTTTTCATCCACATCGTCAAGAACAATGAAAACTTTCTTCTTGAGAAATCGATGTTGGATAGCGTTGATTCCATCGTTAACATTAGTAATGGGAGGGTGCTTAAGAGTGTCGTTGAGAAGCTGGTTCTGCAAATCAACAATACCTGTATCTTTGTATTGTTTGACCTTTTCCCGAACATCCGCAAGGAAGCTACAACAATTTTTAAAGTCTTGGAGGAGCTTGTTGTAGATGGACTTGGCAATAGTTGTCTTGCCAATACCACCCATGCCATGGATACCAACAATCCTTACATCATTTGAACCAACATTTAATAATCTCATCATTTCATTCAGATGATCATCCATCATAACTAAGTTGTCACTTGTAAACATGCATTTTTTCTTCAGGTTCAACGACACTTTTTGAACAATCGTTTTTACTAATTCCCCTTGATGCCTGATTAATGTCATGATGAAAATGAAAATTAATTAGTGACCGAGACGTAAACAAGCAGCTAAAATAATGATTGATTTGTTCTACCTTAGGGACGAGTAGTTGACTCATGAAACCAACATTTATCATATTGTTTTTCTTCTTATAATTTTGTGTTTGTCCTTCTAATTTGATAGTTTTTATTGGATTCCAATGCTATTATAAAGTTCCTATATATATAAAGAATTTAACATAAGGGGGTTATTAGCAGGAAGGGATTAACATACCCATCAGCTTCTTTGTTGACTTGCCAACCCTTGAGTTCTCCAACCTGTTTGAGTGCCTCCTTCCATTTCATAACAGTGCATTCATCAAAACACCTCTCGTGCTCGCGAAAGGCTTCCTCGTAACTCCCAGATTGATGCCTCACATCCGATGGTTCAACATCATAGAAGATTGGCAGAATCGATTGTCCAGTGCTTCTCTTGCAATCCACCATCTGAGCCAGCTCGCGGAGGCACCATTTACTGGAAGCATAATTCTTGGAGAAGATCGGGATGGAGATACTGGACTCCCTGATTGCTTCGAGGAGCTCAGGGCCGATCTCTTCTCCTTTGCGAAGCTCATTGTCATCCCGAAAGGTGCGAACACCTGCGTCAATGAGACAGGTATATAGAAAATCTGTGAATGTGCAGCGAGTGTCTGGCCCTCTAAAACTCAAAAACACTTCGTATTCGCCTCCTGGAACAGGAACGGACGTGGCTGAAGCATCAGACTCCATTTCAGCTATAATCTCCCGTGTCTTTTCTGCTCGATCGATCAGAAACACAATATTGTGGAAGATAAATCTTGTATGATACCAAACTCAAATCTCTCAAACTCACTTCAATGTTTGGCCTTTGGATCTGCAAATTGAGACATTCAAACACCCAATTTATATTTGCAAATCTCTCTCGATCGATCGATGATGTTTGGGTAATGGATCTGCAAATTCTCTATCTGGAATTGGAAAATGACAGGCTCAACACAACCCATACACGCAAATTAACTTTCCCAGTGAAGTCAACAAGACAATATATCTTTCGGCTAAAGAGGCAGCTTTTTCCTAGAAATTTCCAACATCAAGAAATTTCCTCACCATTTCAAGATACAATGTACCTCATACTTATTGTCAAGGTATTTACAATCTTAGAAAAATTACATACATATAAAAGTAATAATGTTGGACTCAAATTACAAACCACTGGCGTCAGCAGAACCCATATTACAAAAACATGGACTTTAGTTTCAGAAAATTGTAACGAGGTCCAACTTCAAATAAATTTGTAATTAGGAAAAGAAATGGCAAATGAATAACTTGTGTCTCCTAACCGGTAAAATAAACACAATAATTTTAACTAGTTTATGCAGCAAGTTAAATCAATTATAAATTAAAACAAATTTAAAATATATAAAACATCCCAACCAATTTATATTATTCAATAACTTGAATAATTGAAATGTAGACCATCTTTATTAACATCAAACATTGGTGACTCTACTCTACACCGAAGTGCATTTTTAATAGTCTACTAATAAATTTAACCACAAACTTATTGTCTAAGTACTAATAAAATTAAACATTTAATTACAAGTTTCACTGCCAAACCCATCTACAATAATTACATCTAATGCAAAAAGACTCTCTCTTACTTATTTCCCTATACAAAACTCAAAACTCTATACCCAGCCAGTGGCCATATCAGCATAATATATATATATATATATATATATATATATATATATATATATGTGACAATTTCAGTTTAATTTCTTTAATATCATCTTCAAGCTTTTTAAGTATTATATTCCTACTTTCTTTCTTGATCAGAATATATATCTTCTATAATTTCATGATGAGGTACCTTGATGCTTTATAAGCATTTTCATGTCAATTAGACGTAGCCTTGTAGGTATCTTTATGTCATATATACATCTTCTATACTTCAATATATACATTTAAGTATAAAATTTCTAATGAATGCACTAACCTTGGATACTTTCTAAGTTTATTTATCCTTACTTATACAATATTATAATCACATCATATATTTAATTTTCAAAGAGAATTAAACAATAATAACTGTTGAATTCGCTACAGATTGATACATGACATTTAAAATCTATGTACTACTTGTATTAAACCACGTCAACTAAATTAAAGAAAGTTTAAAAATTGCACCGTTTTGAGAATGGAAAATTTTAAAAACTGTATTGTTTTTAATTAAGAAAAATTTATCATACTCTAACGTTTAACGTTATTCTCTCTCCCTCATCTTTTCCAAAAAAATATCCTCCCTCTCCTCTTTATTCTTATCTTAAACAAGTCCTGATGGTCTCTGTTTCTCTTTTAACCTCACGTTCTCTTTCATCTTTTCTATATATAGGGCTTTTAGTAATATTTTCCTAACACCATCAATATCCATACTTATATATATATATATATATATATATATATATATATATATATCATTTTCCAATCATTACTATTACTGTAAAAGTTGTATGTCTTGCAATCCTTAAATGATCGGACAAAGTATCACTTATTAATTAAACCTCCATTTGAGGTTTGTTTATTTACAAGTGGTCGCGCTTTGATTGGGAATAGGAAAGTGATTTCCAGCTTCGTTAGGGGATGGGCATTGACCCAGCATCACCTATTATAATCAAATCAATGCATTAGCCGGCAAATATATATATATATATATATATATCATTTTCCAATCATTACTATTACTGTAAAAGTTGTATGTCTTGCAATCCTTAAATGATCGGACAAAGTATCACTTATTAATTAAACCTCCATTTGAGGTTTGTTTATTTACAAGTGGTCGCGCTTTGATTGGGAATAGGAAAGTGATTTCCAGCTTCGTTAGGGGATGAGCATTGACCCAGCATCACCTATTATAATCAAATCAATGCATTAGCCGGCAAATATTGTCCTAAACAAATTCATAAATGAATAGACTTGAGGACCCACCATGATGAACAAAACCATATACTGTAAAGATAGTGACTTTAAGAATAGCTTCAAAATGATATTCTGTTGTTACTATTTTATTCAGATGTTATATAAAATGATAATGGTTTATGTGTGAATTCATGGATGAATAATAAATTTAATCACGTTAATATTAAATGTCAACTTAGTTGTCCATGAAATTGAAATTGAAATTGAGGTGTGGACATGAGGTTTGTTTATTCACAAGTTGCCGCGCATTGATGGGTAATAGGAAAGTGATTTGCAGCTTCATTATGGGATGAGCATTGACCCAGCATGGCCTACTCTACCATAAAGTAAAATTAAATCAATGTATTAGCCACTAAATAATTGTTCTAAATAAACTCACAAGTGAATACATTAGAGGATGAGGTGTGGTGGCCCCACGCTATTGATTATAGATTGATAAAAACAAGAAATAAATAAATAATGCGAAGAGAACCATTTCTATATAAATAACTTCCTTGAGAAGACAAACAACCTTATTTTTATATAAAAGTTTTTCACTTTTATTTTTTTATCTATCTTTTGGTGAGAAGTGCTTATCACCATTTTGGTCGTTATTAGCCCAAATCTATATAATTAATTAAAAGTAATCTATTATGGATGGAAGAATAAATGATTAAAGAATCTTGGATATAAATCAATAGGGAAGATAATATTTAATTTTTAATCACTTTATATTATGGTATTTGAGAAACTCTAACCTTTACAGATGAATTACTGAACTTCTTTGGTAATTTCTATAAATTCTCCAAATAACACTCGCTTAATACTTTCAATTCACTTCACTTCTCTACCTTTTAACTCATTTATATTTGGTCCCCTAACAATCATCAGACAAACCAATACAAAATAAAAGTTGAAAGTAAAATTGAGCGGATTTTATTGAAGCCACTATTTGAAGAAATAAATCAAAAGTGACTTTTGATTTCATAAATAATTGAACAGCTGAATACGTGTGTTTGGCAGATGCAGTCGTTCTTCTAGTGGTATGTATGTACCCTATCACATTCAGTAACTCTATTATTTATTTTGCAACATACACAATTTCATAGCCAATAGTCTCCATTTCTCTATAATTGTCTTTGTAGCTAAACCTGTTATTTATTGGTACAAACATATTTTTTAGTTCTTTTTGTGGTTAAAACTAAAGTAAACCTCTAATATATATTCATCCCAATGGGTTTTTTAGTGTCATAACCGGGGGTGGACTCTAGGAAATTACATTTCTGGAGGCAAAAAATGATAAACAGTAGAGAGAGGAGGAATACATGCACTCTGATTCTTTGCATTACTTAATTTACAATGGGTTTTCTAGTTTGTATATTAGTAGTATATAATGCGTAAATATATATATATATATATAGATATATATTACTAATAGTAATGGGTGTCCAGTGTTTTCTAATATATCTTTATAGTTTGTATATTAGTACTACATAATGGGCCTTTACTAATACACACAAACTTGGCCCGCTTAGATTTTTTTTTTTTTTTTTTTATCAATGTCTAGTAAAAAAAATTAGTAAAAGCCCATTATGTGTTAGTACTAGATTTTTTCTTGATAACTTTATTAAGGCGGGTGTATGGTGGTGCACTATACTCACAATAGTGGTGGGATTAGAAAATTTTGATTGAGCAGGGTGTCTTTACACCTAATGCACTAAAACTATCTGGTTAGGAGTCATTAGCCTAAAGCTTGCTACATGGTTCATCTAGAAAACTTAATGGACTTAAACATTGCACAGCTTGTCATTTGTCTTGAAAAAAAAATAAAAAAATTTAATGATGAAAAATTCGCATGCATAAGTGTAGTCATGAATTCATGCTTTGGGTACTCTAACTCGGAAGGGAATATTAATGAGTTAAAGTTATTGTGATGAGTAATATAAGGATAAATGAGTAAAACACAATTGGATGCTAGTTCACTTCAAAAGGAAGCTAGGGATTGATTGCTATTGGGAATATGTTGAATTAAACTTAATTTGTGTGGGGAACATAGTATTAGTTCACGTAATTGAAGATATGAGATTGCTTGGGAATATTAATCTTTTTATACTTGACATGATAGCTAACTTGATGATGATGTGAATGTAATCGTTTCTAATTCGATGAAAATAATTGAGTTAGATGCAATGTGTGTACAATTTTTGATATTTGTGGGTATCATCTCTGGAAACCCTCACGAGGCTATAGCTCGTCCACTAGGATAATATAGGGGTTTAAGACCTTATCGCATATGGTAAATGTAATCGAAAGTAGCTTGTGAAAATGGCATATTTTTAATTAGGAGTCGATTAAAGTAGCAATTTTGTGAACTTATCTCTTTTTTTCTTTATTTTCTAGAAGACTAGCAAAAACTTGTTTGGGGTAATTTGATAAGTGTACAAAACTTGCTATTTTATACTCAATAATAAATGACTAATTAATTAATATTTTTTATTAGATAATGTTCTTATCCCTGCTTTTCATATTTTATAGGGGCTGATTTTGAAATGAGAAAAACAGAGGCAAAATAGCAAAAACGTGAGATTACACGATCAGTCAAAGTCAAATTCAAAATTGACTTTTTCATCAAATCAATAAAGATCAAGCCAAATTTGAAAGCAACAAGATTTTAGGAAGATTTGATATATTTTATTTTCACTTCTATAATTAGATTTTCCCTCTCCCAATCGTTCCACTCTAAACTCTATAAATAGGGATATATGTAGAGGAGGTGGGAGTTATGAAGTGTTGGAAATGGGGGCATTAAAAACATAAACTTTGGATGAAATTTGGAGTAGATTCCGCTAAGAATTTTTTGCGATCCATAGACAAGTACGTTCTTCTCCACAAGGAGATGAACGTGGAATATTTACTTTTTCAAATCCATTTTCGAGTAAATGAAAAATTAGCTCCAAAGTGAGGTGTTTTGAGCAAAAATTGGGAGTTTATTCTAGTTTTGGTTTGTCAGAAGAGGACATTATTTCAGCATTCAAGAGACGACCAGGGTTTAAGATTGTTTCAA